GGACAGCGCGGACGACAGCGACGACAGCGGCGACTTGGCGTTCGAGGGTGATCATCTGAGCGAATTAAAGAGAATGCGAGCCAATGTCAATTGGGAGAACGAGAAGGAGCGAAAGAAATTCTTTCGTCGACTCTATCGCTTGGCCAGAGATTGGCGGGGCCAACTGCCGAATCTCAAGGAGCACTTTCGGGCCGAGGAGATGGACTGGCTGCTCGCCGAGTCCGTCAAGTACAACGCGTGCAACATCCTCGAGCCCGACCAGTTCATCGAGTTCGCGATCAGAGCCGGCTACAGGGACGCGCCCGAGCTAGACGAGTCAGGCGAGCCGCTGTTGCGACGCACCACCGCGCTGCACTGCGCGGCCCGCTGCATATTCAGCGACACCGTGCACGATCTCTTCAAGATCTACGCGAGCGCGGCGGAGGCGAATTACCTCGACGAGGCCGACGGCCTGACGCACTTCCACGTGGCCTGCAAGTTCGACTGCTGCGACGTCGTCGAGCGGTTCCTCGAGTCGGGACAGGATCCCGACTGCGCCGCGACGACGAGTTTCGCTCGTCCGCCGCTGCATCTGGCACTGGCCAGCGACAACAGGCGGGTCGTGCGACTGCTGCTGGAGAACGGCGCGGACCCGAATCTGGCCGACGCGGAGGGCGCGACGCCTCTGCACGTCGTCTGCGCCAGGAGCGGAGACGGCAGCGGCTGCGGCGACTTGGCGGAACTGTTCCTCGAGATCAACGAGGACATCGTGGGCCAGCCGGTGCTGCTGGTCGACGCGCGGGACAAGTCGGGTCGCACGCCGCTACAGCTGGCCGTGGCCAATCTTCGGCCCGAAGTCGTCGAGATTCTGCTGGATCGCGGCGAGGCCGATCTCGCCGCCTTCCGCTTCCCGACCGAGAGCCAGTTCGCGGAGAGAAAGAAACCCTCCGATTACAAGCTGTTCGGGTTCAAGTTGGCTCTGGCGGCTGACGCGCTGAACGTCGTCGAGCTCCTGGAGCAAAGAGGATACAAACTGCAGCGGAACGACGCACTGACCGTCATGAAGTTCTTCGCCAGGTTCAAATTGTTCGAGAAACCAGCGGCGGCAGCAGCAGCGGACCAGGATAAACGTAATTGGTACGACGACAAACACTTCGCGGTACAGTCGAAGAGGCTAATGGTGGGTACGAGCTCGTCGCTCCGTGACCTGATCCACTTGGGACGACTCGACCACGACGAGACAACGACGAAGACGGCCAAGCAGCTACCCACCTTCGCGGACTACTCGAGACTCGCGCGTTCCAATGAATTTTGGACGCTGCCCAAGGAGTCCGGTCAGGCTTGCACCGCGCACCTGTGCGAGCTCATGTCGAGGAGATTCTTCCGGCGATGGACGTTGGAATTTTTCTTGGAGCTGACGCGCCAACAGTTGCCGATTCTTTGTTGTGAAAAAATCATCGGACAGCTGACGAGCGAGGATTCGTTGAGCATTTGCCTGGCAGTCACTGGTCAAAACTTGGAATGAATCAAGAAGTTCTTGTTTTGATGTTATATCATAAAACCATGCAATAGATGGTACATAAACAGTGCAGTAAAACTAATGCTAACTTAAATAAACGTTTAAGTACAGACGAATGCAACGAATCATACACATGATATCGGGTTTCAATTGTAACTGTATGTGGAAAGTCAATTATTTCTTTGATTAAAGTTTGCTTTTCCAAGTGTATGGCCTTGTATCAGTAAATTTTAAAATCAAAGTCAATGCTAAGAAGAAAAGTAAACAACTTAGATAAATATGTCACAATTTCAAAATTGTGTTTCGGTATTGTAAAAAGTTAATTTCAACCCAAATAAAATTGTATGAAATAAATAAACCTTAACAATATATTTTCAAAAACAATTGTGTAGGAAGTTTTCTTAAAACATTCATTTTCATTAATTTATAAACTACTACCAATTTACAAAATGTGCATGTCGATTATTGTTAGTTTTTTCATTCTTGTAAAGTACAATGAACACCTATTTTATACAAAATATTAGAGAAATAAAATAAAATGTGCGACTGGTAAAATGTATTTAGATAAAATTTTAGATCCATTGTTTGCAAAATTTTCCTGTATTTTTAATACCTTTTATATTACCAAACTTCCTATTTAATTGATCTAAATTCCACTATTTAGTTGAACAAATTGTTAAATAGAAATACTCGCATGCGTTCTAACATAATCAAATCCTCAAATTGCCTATTAGTAATATTATATTATCAATGCATGTCATGCGATCAATCGTTTCTTGTTATTTGATAATGAAAATTGTTTTAATAACAATACACTGCAAAATTAACAAAATTTTTAAGGCTGATAAAGTAAAATTCTATAGACTAAGCTAATGTACAGTTTTTTTGCAGAGTTATTCAAATTTGAATAAACTTGATCTTTTGCAACAAAGTGACCAAACTCAAAGGTGGTGTTCAATTGATGGAGTTGATCAATTGATTCAATTGATTCAATTGATGGAATTAAAGTAATGGTTTCAAATTGATCAGACAGCAGATGAAACTTTAGAAGTGTAAATTCAAATTCAGTCAACTTCTGTGTGTGTTCAGTCAAATTACTGTGTCATAATATATCTCACTTGGTGTGGCAACGCTTCTTAATTGCGATATAATCGGGATTCGGGATACGCGCGCCGCACGCACCGCTGCAGATCAGTTCTGAGTACACATGCGGCCGCAGCACCTTGAGTTCAGTTCAGTTATCAGTACACGTGACGACGTCGCAGAGTAAACAACGAAAGATCGTCTCGACTCTCGATTGTAGCCAGTGATTCTCGTGAAAAAGATTTATTATTTTGTTATTCGCGCGTGATTGTGCTAAAGTATGTCGGACGACGATTTCGATTCCGATGATTCCAGTGACTTTGATTACTTTTTCGGTTATGAGAGCAATGAAAGTGACGGCGACGATGATTTCAACACGGGCGAAGAAAAATTAGAAAAATTGAAGAGCTTACGAGAAAAAGTGAATTGGGTGGTCGACGAAGAGCGACGCGAATTTCTCCGTCAACTTCAACCCATAATAAAAAATTGGATCGATGGATTGCCAGATCTCCGAGACGTTTTTCGAGGCGAAGAAATCGACTGGCTTCTCTCGGAGTCTGTGAAGAACGAAGGTAGAACATTGGATGGTGTCTATAGAGGATTTCCATTCGTGAATTTCGTGATCGCCACAGGTTATAAAGACGAGCCCGACGTAGATAAAGACGGCAATCCAATACTGCATCGCACCACTGCAGTGCATATTGCGATTAAATGCAAATACCCCGGGGTCGTCCATAATCTGTTCGAAATATACGATAGATTCGACGTGAATTACACCGACGAATTTGGATTAACGCATTTTCACGCGGCCTGCCAATCTGGCTGTATTAAAGTTGCCGAGAAATTCCTCGAACTCGGCCAGGATCCCAATCTCCTCGTGCCAGATACCGATGACTCGCCGCTACACTTGGCTTTGGTCAATGGCAGAAATCCAACGGTTGAATTATTGCTGAGAAACGGCGCGGATCCAAGTTTGACCAACGCCAAGGGACACACACCATTGCATTTGATTTGCAAGCAAGAATACCTTAATGACTGTTCTGAGCTATTCTTCGAGATCATCGACGAGCAACATCAAACAGTGCAGGTCGACGCTCGGGATAACTTGGGCCGTACACCGCTGCAATGGGCCGTGGCGAATTTGTTACCGAATGTAATCGATGTACTCTTGGATCGTGGCGCTGATTTGTCTAGCTTCGTTTTTCCATCCGAAAGTCACTTCGATGAGTCCCCGTATGAGAGTTTACCTTGTAAATTGGATCCAGCATCCGGCAAGTTGGCCGTCGTGGAGCACCTTGAGAAAAGGGGATACGAATTGGATCGAAGTGACGCAATGACGGTTATGAAATTTTTTGCTAAATACGAATTGTTCGAAGATACGTCGCTTCTTGAAAAATTTCTGAATGATGACAAGTATGCGAAGAGAGCTAAAAAGTTATTGATAAGAGATCAAGATCCAATTCTGTCGCTATACGACCTGATGCGCTTACAACCCGAAGAGGCGTCGAAAATACTCACATATACTGATTACTATGATTTTGTGACAAGTGACGAATTTGATGAACGAGTCGACGAAGTGAGTACTCTGCACCTAGGCGAGATAATGTCAAGAGGATTTTTTCAGCGGTGGGCACTGGAACCTCTGCTGGAGCTGACTGCAAGGTATCAACTTCCAGTTCTTTGCTGTGAAATAATTATTAAAAAGCTAAAGAACAAGGATTTGTTTAGTATTTGCCTGGCAGCCACTAATCAAAACTAGGATCAATAAAAGTGAATAATGTTTCAGTTTACATCAATGAGAAAAGAAAAAAATAAAAATAGACGAGACATGAAAGCTGCAGCAAGACACTTATAAGTACATTAGTATGGACAAAATCAAAAAAATTGTTAGCTTCGATATGTCTTTTGGCGCATGAAAGAAGCAGTACATTTTGCTTAACGAGTTTCCATACACTTATTTTAATAAATATGAATCCAAAAAGAACAATCAGTTGAGAAGTTTTAATACAAAATATATTTTCATTTATTTACAAATTATCTATGTGATAGATATACATGGTGTAAATTTATGTACATTAATTTGTTTGAATAAAATTTCATAAAACAAAACAAATACTTATAAATGGTAAATTCTAGTCAGAAAAAATTACACGACTATCATCTCTTGCAACATCCACTGTTATTCAATAACTTTGATTTTTCTATCAAACAATTTTATTTATTATTATTTTGATCAAAGTTCTCGGAATCATCTATTTGGACGAATAATCAAATAGACATATTTGCATAGCTTTCCATATTGTCTCTTTAAGAGTACATATATGGTCTAAAAGTTATTTTTTGGCACATCACACTAGGCATATTCAATAAAAATAAAATTAAACATTTAGACTAAAGTTAATTTTTTCTCTGTGAAATACTACACAATTTCAATTTCACTGTTAATGTGCAGTTGTGACATAGTTTTTTTGACCCGAAGCGCTGTCAATCTCACAGCGGGATTAGAGTGCCAACACTCAGCCATCAGCTTGCTCATTGCGCATAAGAACTGTGAATAAAAAAGTACAGTTAGATTTGATTCAACATTTCAGCATTAAGAGCAAGTACACTGAGAAAAATACCTTAGAAAAAATGATCATGTTATAGAAAATTTCACTAAAAAATTAATTTCTATCAAGTAACATTTACTAAATAATACAATGAATAGATTCCATTTAATAACTGTTAACCATCCAGTTCCATTTAATAACTGGTAACCATGTTTACTATATGATATAGTAAATTGTTATTTAAGGTATTTTTCGTCAGCGTAGAAGTATATATAAACTTACCGGATCATTGCGCCATCTTCGAGGTATAACGGGCCTGACGTTCACCACGCAGACGGCCAGCCTCATCTCTTCGAAATCGGGATCGATCCGCACGACGTCGTGATAGGGAAGAGCGTAGGGTTCCGCCTTGGAGATCATGCCCTCCACGGTGGCGCATCTCCGGCATATCTCCCAGAGCACGAGGCCGAGCGAGTACACGTCGGCCCGCTTGAAGGAGTCGAAGCAGCCGACGTCGATGGACTCGTCGAGCTGCTCCGGGGCCATGTATCTGCGCGTGCCGACGCGCGCCACGGGCGCCGCCACGTCCATCTCGCCGGTCACGCTGGAGTAGCGCACCGCGAGTCCGAAATCGGCGATGCAGCACTCGCCGTTGCGCTTCATCAGGACGTTCTTGGACTTGATGTCGCGATGGGCGATCGCGGGCTTGCCGGCGGCCGCGGTACCGCCCGGGATCTCGGTGTGCAGGTGCGCCAGGCCCCTGGCCAGACTCAGGCAGCAGACCAGCAGCGCAGCCCGATCGAGCACCCGCGAACGCAGATAGTCGTGCAGCGAGCCGCGCTCGTGATAATCCGTGACGAGGAGCATCTGGGTGTAGCAGCCGGTGCCCTTGATGTCCGCCGCGACGAATCCGAGGACGTTGTCGTGGCGCATCAGGTGCGTCTGGTAGATCTCGGTCTCGCGGAACCACGAGGCCTCCTCCTGCGCGGCGAAGATCTTGCAGGCGACTCGCTCGCCGCGCCAGTGCCCGAGGCGCACCTCGGCGTAGCGGCCCTTGCCGAGGCACTCGTCGCGCGCCAGCTGTATCTGCCGGGCGATGGTGCGCTGCACGAGGAGCGGCAGACCGGCCGAGCCCGAGCCCGAGCTACGATCGATCAGGTCCCTGATGCAAAAAGATAAATTAGTGTTTCTAGTATAATTTTTAGGATAATAGTAGTATAATTGACGATTCGATGTAGTTTTCTCCAATGAGAGTTTTGTATTCATTTAAGTGCACAAAACGATAGCTTCCGGTTCTCGAAATAAAATAGTTCAGATGATCATACACTGCATAGGTAAAAATTGCATCAGTTTCAAATTCTAAATTTCCTACTTGCATGTGGCACAGTACGGAACGACTCGAAGGATCGTTAAGGAATAAATGCTTATCATTATCAGAAACGTTTTTCCATAAATCACTTGTCAATTTAAATAAATAATTATCGACGCATTTATCGGTTATCGGTTGTGTGGAAACTAAATTACTTGAAACAGGTTCTATGTTCAATTCTTCTGAAGCATCTGAAGGACAAACTTCACTGACTTCTGAAAAATGAAATGAAAAATAGTAAAATTGACTTGCGTTATAACAATAACTTAATATAGTTTCAAATGAAATATTTATAAAAATAATAAATTATGCTAGTGAAGTAGTGAAAAAAATACCCATGTTAATTGAAGCGTCGTTAAATAGATAATTTTGTTTAATTTCCAGTTCGGAATTTTTATTTTCTACGGAAACTATACTGAAGTTAAGTGACGTATCTATGTAAATGAACAGTACCTATAACAGTAACATATAGTTTATAGGAATAATATAGAAATGTTTAATTATAAAATATGAATACCGTTACGAGTTTGGGAAGAAGGTTTGTTTAAATAATTGACCTTTGGTCCTCGTCTTTTCTTATAAGTAAGCTCATCTTCGAGGCAATTCTTCATCTCATTTATAGCATATGAATGCTCTTCGATTGCATTGAAATGATTTATTTCTTCTAATTTATCCACTTTCTATGGGATTTTCCCATGCTTTTATGTTAAGGATAGCACTGATCATTTTATCGGTCAATTTAAATGGAACTGTACTTTCCTGAATATGTGTCGCTAGTTGAGTTGCAAAAATGAGATTTTTCATGGTATCAAATTTCAGTCGATTTCTTAGTTTAGTTTTTTCCAAGTTGTATTTGCTCCACAGCCTTTCGGCGCTCGCATTGGAATTTGGCAGTAGCAAAATACAATTAACAAAATTGCATAAATCTTCAAAAATTTTATCATTATCGGCGTTTTCATATTCGGTCAACTTGGTCCAAAACGAGTCAATATTCCTCTCACTTGCTATGTGTTCATCGAATTTTGTTGACAGGAGCAACTTCCATTGCTCATTTATAGCTTTCTTTAAACCGTCCGTTTTTACAAACTGAGGATAAACTTTGAATATTTTGTCCAAATTTGGCGCGTTATTTGAATGATAACTCTCGCTCAACGCATTCTTTGGGTGAAGAGTTGGCCGCAAAGTGAATTGGTTGTCACAAAAATCATCGCACTTTTTTTTTAGTTCTTTACATGCTCTAATGAGAAATTCTTGGGCCAAATCGAAAAAATCTTTTTTCTGTTCTGCATTAATTTTTATATTATCTTTATTCAAGAGCTTAAAACACTCAAAGCCAACGGTGATGTGAAGTTTGTCCTTCAGATGCTCTGGACCATTTGGATTAACTTCGTGGAGAGGAGTATTTAACAAGTAATTTTGGTCCATATATAATGACAGTAATTTATAATATAAATCGCTGATCAAATCTTTGTCTTCGGTAAAAACTGTCGAAACTGATTGGAGTTCTTCGTTTACGTTAGTGAATTTTGACAACACAAAGTATATGGATCATTCAAATCATTGTAAATTCCAATCGCCTTTTCGTCTTTGGCATTTTGGGCTTCTTTTTTAAAATAAGATAATAAGAGCGTCCATTTACGAAGAATGCTCCGTAAACATTCACAATACGAGAGCCAACGGGTAAAAGCAGGTCTCAAAATACGAGTTGCCGTTACATTATGCGACTCTTGTATTGATACCCATCGATGAAACCTGGCGGGACTATTGGAGTTGATGTAATTGTATATTGATGTCATTAAATTTTTATACTTTGTAGGAATGTGTCGCATGCCTCGCTGTGCGCATAGATTTTCTATGTGGCAACTACACTCAACAATAATAATATCTGGAATTAATTTCTTCAATTTGGACGCGACAGAATTATTTTCACCCATCATGACATTGCATGTATCGGAGCAAAAACTCACAATATTTTCCAACGGAATAGACTCCAAGGAATTGATAATTCGATCGCACGTTTGATCGGCATCACAGCAGGATTCATCGTTTACGTAGACTTTGATTAAGTCCCACATAACTTCTACAAATTTTTTAAACTTTTGTCAAAAAACCGAACGATGATGCACAGAGACTTTTCAACTGTGATATCCGTGCTTTCATCCACAATTATACTGAATTTTCGGACTCTTAAAATATCTGCCAACCAAGATTTGTACTCTGGCCCAATGACCAAGCGAATGATGTTGGCAGTTCGTCTTCTGCACAATTCAAAATTTTTTAACATTTTAGAGTCATCAATACTATCCTTTAAAGTTGCCACTAAATCGCCGTTGCTTACGAGTAAAAACACAGTGAAAAACGCTACGAAAAAAAACATACTGATAAAATGCCCCGAAAAAAAACACAGCTCATTGAATGCTGTGAAAAAAAACACACCTCATCGGAGCGCCACGAAAAAAAACACACCTCATTGAATGCCATGAAAAAAAACACAGCACATTGGATACCGTGAAAAAAAACACATCTCATTGGATGCCGCGAAAAAAAACACACCTCATTCGACGCCACGAAAAAAAACACAGCAGAATAAAAACGCAACAAAATTCGATTCGGTGTGTTTTTTTTTCGCGGCATCCAGTGAGCTGTGTTTTTTTTCGCGGCATCCAATGAGCTGTGTTTTTTTTCGCGGCATCCAATGTGCTGTGTTTTTTTTCATGGCATTCTATGAGGTGTGTTTTTTTTCGCAGCGCTCCGGAGAGGTGTGTTTTTTTTCGCAGCGCTCCGATGAGGTGTGTTTTTTTTCGCAGCGTTCCAAAGAGGTGTGTTTTTTTTCATGGTATCCAAAGAGGTGTGTTTTTTTTCACGGCGCTTCGATGATGTGTGTTTTTACTCGTAAGCAACGGCGAAATAGTCGATGAAAAGGAAAGATACATTTCTTTCTGCTGTCAACATGGATAATTTAAATTTTGCAATGGCTATCTTTTTTTCTTCTTGATCTTCTTCGGTGAAATTATTGGTCAATATCTTAGTTTTGGTAATGTGTACAGAAGAATTCAAATGTCTTTTCAAAGAATTATATTTACATAGAATACTTTTTGATTCATCGTGGCAAAAAATGCATCTAACTCTTGCTTGCGATTCATCGACCGGAACGAAAAATACGTCCAAATCAGCGTATTTTTGTAGAAGAATGTCAAAATGTTTAAGGTTTTTTCGCTCAGAAGAGGCAAGATTGAAATCCGGACTTATAACTACGTCTTCATAAGTCATCGTCGATCATATAAATGAGAATAAAAACATCCAATCAAAATGAACTAGTCTAAAATTAAAAAATTCATCTATATAGTTACATAGGATATGATATGAACGAGCGATCAATTCGATTATATATTTGCAATACATCGCGTGGGATTCATGTAAACTGACTACATCGCAAAGACAAAAAATTTCACTTATATGATTTTTAACTATGAATAATTATTATATAATCAGCAGCTATATTTCTATTTTTTTAAATTAATCTGCAGCTGACGTTAATAATAAAGGATTTTACTAGATAGCAGTTAACAAGTGATTAAAATACGTATGCTCGACCCATGACACGATTAAAACATAAACATTGCATTATTGCCATGGTATACTTACTNTAATTATAAGTCCGTTCGATTCAAGACAATCGTCAATCGTTCTCACCTCCCTCCCCCATACATGCATATGCGAACCGCGCAAAATTGCGCCTAAATTGTTCATTCGTTGTTAAAAAAGTAGCAATTACGTCTAATCTTTTACTCTTCCTGTGGCATAGTTAAATTTTATTCCATGTCAATGAAAAGACAAACCACGCGAATTAAGATAAATTTCGTCGATAATTGCACGAACAAATTATTTTATATGTTTAGATTTCAAGATTGGTGTAAAAGGATTGGCAAACAAGAATTTATCGACTTACCCTAAAATATAATTGCTAACAAACGTGTTTGTTCGGTACATTTTCCTGACTCAGCTTTTATTAACCGTGGCGCTGGAAAAAAGGTCTGATAGACTCAGCTAAACCCTTTTCAATTAATAATAAAAGCGGAGAAGGTACATACCTAATTACAATTATCATCGATTAAAATTATTATTCGTCGATCGTGCATATTATTTTTTCCTACATTGATTTATTTGTATTATACAGATATAGATAATGGTTTTTCTGAGAATTGTCCGAGCGTAGAAAATTTGTCACTGCAATCAATAGGGCAAGAAGATTCAGTAATAGAAGAGAGCGTTTCTATGATAGAGGGAAACGATTCTGATCGAGGATCTTTTAATATTTTGGAAGGCTTACAACGTTCCTCAAAAAGAATTGGGCAATTTGAAAGTTCCGACCGATGAGTTTTTTAATATTATAGTCGAGGCGTATACAATTATGCAGCAAGAATTTAATATACATATGCATGAATATAATCTCCGAGCAACGTTAATATCACTAATAGAGTCCGTGATTTTCGATAAATATAGTGAATTTTGAATATGCGAAGAGTGTTTTGATCATAGAAGTTTTATTATAGATCATTTCGTAAAACTTCATATATTCTATTTTTTAAAGTGGATGTCCTGCGATAACCGTGACACTAAAAATTTCAAGAGAAAATCTAACAATTCGACAGATAAGCCATGTTTGAAACTAGTAAAACTGAGCCAATGATTCTAAATAAAAGTACTTCTTTAAGCTGTTCAAAATATTTATTTATAATATTTTTGTTACTTTTAGTATTATTTATTGATTCGATATTAATAAGATATTAATAATTGGTTTAATTAAACTACAGAAAATGTTTTCCCACTCATTTGCTACATTCATTCCACTTTAATAATTATTTACATGATAAAAATGAACACGCATTGTGGATAAAATGCTCGGCCTTGTCGCTGGGCATTTAAATGCGCGCCTACAGTGATCGCAACGCCGCCTGCCTGAGGAAAGGAGGTGAGAAAGGAGTCGAAATAAATTCCAACCGAGCAACAAATATTGTTGGGATTGCCAAGGCAATATTTATTGCGGACTTAACTTGAGCGGTAGATACAATGGAGCGCGGACTGTACACAGAGAGAAAATATACGCGTTTGAGAGAGGACCTGTATCAAGTGAGAATCGCCGGAACGCTTGCCTGGTTCAATTGATGGCTGTCCGGCGATGAGAGCCGGAGACTCGACGCTGGGACTTGAGTCGAACTACGGCCGCGCGGCATTATTTAGTCTAATCGCTAAATTTATAACTCACTGAAAAAGTGCCTGAATGCACTTAAAAAAATAAATGAATCCACCATTCCGATAGGAAATTGTCTTAGCTTTCC